ATCATTCACTCCTAGGATCCGTTCGAGAGTTGCATGTATGTATGTATGTATGTATGTATGTATGTATGTAAACATGTATGTATGCGTTGTATGCAATGGAAGTGGGCGGTTTTGAGGGGGGGGTGGAAAAAGGGAGTAAGTGTGAAACGGGAGTTGGAGAAAGGGAAACATCGTGATCGTGATGTGGGTACCGTGCAAGTGGTAAACAGCCAGGGCAGAAAACCCGAAGTGTACGGCAACACCCCAAAACCCAATAGGTCAAGGAAAGATGAAACCCTTCAACCCACATCCCGTCCCCACCCCCCAACCCCTGGGGGGGAAACATGCGAGGCTGCCCGTTGTGTGCGTGCCTTGATTTCCAACCAAATACACATGCCGGCCGTCACCATCACCACCTAGTCCCTAAGTCCTGAACTCCCAACTGCCAACCGCTAACCGTCACCCACCTCCCAGCAGGGTGTATTCGAACAGTACGTAACGCCCCGCCTTTAACGGCCGTCTGTCCGTACGGGGAAAGTACTGCGACAATACCGTACACAGAGCCGTAAGGCCCCGCAGCGGATATGGAAGAGAGGAGCCACTGTCGCCGTTACCGTTGCCATGACCGTTACTGCTACTGCTACTGCTACTGCTACTCCCAGCGCCCCCGCTATCGTCACTGCTACTGCCTTTGCTACTGCTCGTCCACATCAGGCGAGTGTTCGAGGGCACCAGCTCGGTTCGCAGCTCGTCATCTCCCGCGTGGATGGATACGGCCAAACACACACGCGGGGCTAGGGGGCCGGGGGGAGGGGGAGGAGGAGGGGGAAATAGCACCAGTGACGGCGGGGGTGGTAGTGATGACAGCGCCGCGGGTGAGGGGGAGGGAGATGGCTGCGGGGGAGCGTCATCTGGCGACGGCGACGGCGACGGCGGTCGGGATGAAGATGATGTCGATGTCGGTGTCGGTGTCGGTGTCGGTCCGAACCTGTCCAGGAAGTGCTGAAGCTGGGGGAGCAGGCCGACGGTGGACAGGGTGATCCTGGGGGTGGAAAGGGAGTGCTTGTATGTATGATGTGTGAAACAGGGGGGTGTATCTTCGCCCGTGGCAGCTACCCTGCGAAACCCTGCCTTCCCCGGTATTTCGGGGCACCCTCACCCAGTCACCCTAGTTAACTTCTCAGTGGATCGCTCAGGTTCCGGACCCACCACCAGCATCCAACGGAATCTGCCGGGTCCACAGCGGCCCAACTCCACTCCTGGTCGGCTCGCAGGTTAACTTCATCCCAGGTCACCACCGTCATTAACTAGGGGCGCAATGCCTTCCACCATCGGAGGGACTTTTGACCCTAATGGGTATCGATGGGTATCGATCCCGGTATGTATGTATGTATGTTTCCGCAGCACTGGTTTTGCAGATTGACGTATTCATCGCCAAATTGCGCCATTTGGTGTATTGGTTTTCTTAACACACACACACACACACACACACACACACACACGCACACGCACATACACACATACACACCCCGCCTTCCCGCAGCCCCCCGCATGTCCCTCCACTCCCCATTTTCTTCAATTCACCCCGTCATCCCCCCCATCCCCCTCACCCCCCCAACACACACACACACACCTCACACCTGCTCGCAGAAAACCCCAACCCTCGACGATGTGTCAGTATGTCAATCGCTGCAAACACTGCCGTACAGTTGTGTAGGGGCTCCCCCATCCCCATAAACACGATATTGGTGATGGGGGCAGCAGTAGCAGCTGTTGCAGCGGTAGCGGCCGGAGGACGTGCGGGATCTTGGTCCAGCAGGCGCTGCGCAACTAAGACCTGAAGACATCGGAGGGCATGTTGGGGGTATGCTGCACACACACACACATATACAGACACACATACATACCGACGAACCTGTTCAATAATTTGTGCAGTGGAGAGGTTGCCGAGCAGTCCCTTTCGTCCTGTGTAACAAAACTGGCAGTTCATGGCGCAACCAACCTGAGGGACATGTACGACAATGTACGATAATGTACGGCGATGTAAGGACGAGCCACGAGAAATCGGTTCACCTCTCCGTCCCACACTCCTTTTCCCCGTTCTTCATTCCTATAACCCGTTTCCCCCCCACCCCACCCCACCAACCCTCCCTTGCTGCCGTACCTGCGATGATACGCACAGTGTGTATCTGGGATGCTCCCGGCGACCGACCCGTGGGTCGTAATCCCGGAACCAGGGAATGAGAACCGTCTCAATGCGCCCACCTGGCAGGAGTGTGTGTGTGGGGGGGGGGGGCGAGTGGGGAGGGGGGAAGGAGAGCGCACGGGTAAGGGAGGGGAGAGTGTGTGTGTGTATGTACGCGTGTGTGTATTTTGTGGATTAATGGAGCTCTGGGTTGCACGCGTAGGAGTGGGTTACCTGGCGGCCACAATTGCGCCATTGACACGGGGGGGGGGGGAAATCTTGGCGGGATTGAGGGGGGAAGAGGGCCAAACAAGCCCACTGCAGAGTAAGACTACATGATCCCCCGTGTGCAAACGTACATGCATACAGACATATGTGTTCAATTGGCCCAGAAGCCTCCCACTCTGTAACAACACATGTATATATATACCGACATACAAACGGATGTGCATGTTTTGTGGGTAGTGTATTGGGGATTGAGAGCAGAGAGGGCAAACAACAGAGGATTAAACGGGGAGTTCAGAAGGCCAAAAAAGTAGTTTGGCGGTTAGGTGCCGAGTTCACCAAGACAGACAGACTGACAAGACCGACAGACAGACCGACAGACAGACGAGGAGGTTATTTAATTTTTTTGTCAGAGTCGGCACTGCGATGGTTGGAAGTGGTGACTGCTAGGATTTGATTGGGGTACCGGGATATGTCTTCACGGAAGCAAGTTCCGAAGGCAAAACAGAGACGCGGTAAATGAGGATATGTATGTATGTATGTCTGCTGGATGGTTCTGCAGCAATGGTTTGCGGCGCTGCAGTGGCGAAAGAGGGAAGTGGCGTACATGGACGCGTGCAGACGCAACTGCCAAACCCGCCGCTGCCCCCCTCCACATACACATACACACACATCCCCCCCCTCCTCCCCTCCCCGGCCCCCCCACCTGCCGCCTCCCCCTCGGTTACACGAAATACAAGCTTGCGCGTTCCGTCCGAGGCAGGGGTCACGTCCTCCAGCATAAGGCCCCCCTGGAGGCTGAGAAGGGCCCTAGGGAGTGCGAGTGGGATGGCGGGGGGGGGGGGAGAGGGGCGGGTTGGGGGGGGGGAGATAACCCAGACACGGACAAGACCACACAGGCGTGTGCCCCGCCTAGGAGCGGGAAAATCCATACGTACATACATACATACATTCATCTATACATACATACCTTCGTACATACGTCCATCCATCTATACATACCTACCTAGGTATTTTCCTTCCTACGGGTTGGGCTGTGGTTTGGCTTCGGGCCCCGGGCCTCGGGGGCCCCAGGGGAATCTAAGGCATTTATTCGGCCCTTCCTCTATACATACATACCTTCGGACATACGGCCCTCCCTCTATACATAACTACCTTCGGACATACGTCCATCCATCTATACATACATACCTTCGGACATACGTCCCTCCCTCTATACATACATACATACGGCCCTTCCTCTATACCTACCTACCTACCTACCTTCCTACCTACCTACCTACCTACCTACCTACGTGCCTTCCTTCCTACATACCTTAGGGGATAGGGTGTCCAGGCGCGGAGGGGGGATTTTAGGTGGTGGGGGTGGTAAGGAGGTCCAAAGGGAGGTTGAGGGGATTGGTTGCCAGGGGGGGGGGATTACGGATGGGGCTTGGGGGGGTGCCCCCCAAGGGGACATGGGGGAGGGAGGGGTTTTTTTCCTGGGGGAGCCCTACCGGCCGAAGGGGGGGAGAACCGGGGAAAGGGGGGGCAGAACCCGGGGGGGGGGGGGAAAAAGGTATAAAGTTCCCCCAGAGGATTTAGGGTTGAGGGGTGGTGAGTGGAAAACAGGTGGCCGTAACGAGGGCGCGGAAGAGGGGAAGGTGGGCACCCCAGAAAGGGGGGGCCGTACTCGAAGGTGCGCGCGTGGTCCAGGATTAGGTCCTCAGGGTACGAGACCGGGTTTTTCGTGGTGCGGCGTCTAGGTGAGATAGGATCTTGGGAACCAGCCGTCTTGGTAGAGCGGTATTGGGGGGGCGCCGAGCTGGCTACCCTCCCCCCCTGTGGTTTCCGGAGGCTTGATCGCCCTGCGTTGCCGCAGGGTCTTCCCGTTTGAGTACTTTCCAAGTTAGACCCAGTGCTGTGGAAGGGCGCGGACTTGTGCGGTGTTACCCCCTCGACGGGGGCTATCTCCCCTGGACTAGCCCAGGGAGGGAGAGGCGGAGGAGGGTAGTAGTCTAAGGAGGCTGTTTGGCGTCTTGTGGTGTGAGCTCTTTGCGCTCTTTTTTGCGTGAGGATTTTTGAGCTTGGTGACCTCCCCAGCCCGGGATGACTCGTCGGGCTCCCGGTCGCCCAGGTCCTGGTAGCGAGCTCTCTGAGATGCTCGGTTCGTTCGGTCGGCAGGAAGAGCCCCCCAGTTGCGACTTCGTTTATGTTAGGAGACCAACGGGCATAGATCCCGTCTAGTTGGAGCGCCAAACAAGCGCTGTTGCGTGCCGGCCGTCGTTTCCCGTGCGGCCTGACCCGGGGGCGGAGTGCATGAGACTAACCAGCCGTATGCACCCGCCCCCCGCGCTGTGCTTCGGCCCTGGGCCCCCGGCTTTTCAGCCCACAGTGTAATCAACGTCATACATACGTCCATTCATCTATACATACATACATACATACATACATACGTCCATTCATCTATACATACATACATACGTCCATCTATACATACATACATACATACATACATACATACATACATATGCATACATACATACATATGCATACATACATACAAACCTGAACTTCGTCATGAAGGCTCCGCTGAATCCCCCAACAGCGGGCTCGGCGGCGTCCTCTAACCGCCGTAATCCACCGCCGCCGCCAATGTACGGAACACCGCCGCCACCATCGCCACTTCCGGTTGTAGTGCTACTGCCGCCCGGGAAGCTGCTGCTGCCGCCGCCGCCGTCGTTTCCACCGCGTTGCTGTGCTTGATTAGGAACCCACCAGGGGGCTCTTTCGCTATATTGTTGCCTAATTAGCTCGGTGGCGGCGGCGCTGCTGCCAGATGCCGTTGCTGAAGTGTACGGAGCAGCAATAGCAGCGGTTGAAGCAGTTGTAGCGGTTGTGGGGGAGGAGGACGAGGCGGAGGCGGAGGCCGAACGCCTACCGCCGCCGCCGCTAGCGCCATTGTTGCCGTACACCCAGCGCCACAACTGGTCTGCTCGACTGGGCCTTTCACCTGGGAGAGACAGGCCGTACAAGTGTAATGACGATTTGCCGTAATCATACTTCCTCATGATTTTTCGTACTCGTACTTTGTCGTACTCCAAATTGCCACCATATCAAACCAAACATAGAGGGTGATTGATATTCACTAACTTCGCGATTCGACGGTGGGTACGGCAGCTACGACAAGTACGGCACGCAATTACGGCAATTTTAATATCCGCCTGTGCTGAGTGGTTGATTCGGCCACACCATGGAATCAGAGGTCGCCCCACACAACACAACAACTCGAAGACTTCAAAAGCTGCTGAGAGTGAATTTGATCCCTAAGACCTGACCAGCAAGCAGAGTGGTGAGTGGGAGGTAGTGGTGATGTGTGGAGGCCATATCGGGAGGCGCATAAGAGTGTTTGGGGGGGATCATTTAGGTTGGAAAGATGGATGTTCTAAACGATTGCATCGAGAACAAAACATTGTTAGCGAGAGTGGAACGCGAAGCTGTCGGGAATTATTCATCCTTCTTCCGGATGGAGCTTGTGGAGAGACGGGTAAACGTCTCTAGCAGTGCGTGCGGTGGCAGCATGTGGATATGTGGCGCAGGAGCGATCCCACACCTTGCGCCGCAAACCATTGCTGCAGCTCCGGTAGAGTCACTCCCTTGACGTACAGCCGGCCATCAGCGTCGTACACATTAGGCCTGTTTGGGAGGGTTTAGTTTCGGGTTTGGGGGAACCATGGTGCTCTAAGCGTTGAAGTGCTGGACAGCGGGATAGAAGCAGGCTTGGAAAGGTTCGATTTTGAAGCCACGATGCCGACCAAGAAGACCGCGAGTTATGGTGGCCAAGTTGGCAACAATTGGGCTTATGTTCTCTTGCCTGTTTAGAGCTTGAGGAGCCTCTTGTAAAGCATGGACTACTGCGACGGCAGTCCTTTGCGGCCCATCAGCGAGAGGAAGCGTCGGACTGGCGTTTGTTCTGAAATGTAATTGATGAATTCCGCAATTTACATGATGTCCCCTAGATTGCCAGGATGTCTGAATGAATGGCCTGCGTCGTCCTGGCCCGGGGACCGCTTCTTGAATCCCCAAAGTTTGTACAAGCGACTTCATTGTCACTATTTCATCATGCTTTTGAGTTTCATAAGAGGTAATCGATCATACATAGCTGCTGATTGGATTGAGACTCTCAGGTAAGGGCGATGTTGCTCCGAGACCAAGCGAACGTAACGACCGGCGGTCGCTTTCCACGTTTCGAGCATCCTGGGGCAGGGGCTCCGAGCCCATGAAGCCTGGCATGAATTTTGAGGCACTAGTAGTGGTGACCATAAAACATACAAGTCACGAGCTATAAAAGCCGGTCGCTGCCAAATAATACGTTGTTGTCCTCCCCACCATACAAAACTCTCTGTTGTTATGTTTAACTAAAAATCATGATTGTGATGTTACCAATCTGCAGAGGAGTTGACTGCAGGACTCAGACACAGCGGAAGTATAAGGCCCAGCGCGCCAGCAAATACCAGAAGCCGTACTAATTTCACTGGACACAAACCCTCAGCTAGTACGCTCAGACATAAAAGATCAGCTCCCATAGTTTTGGCGGGTTGTCCCGGGTCGCAAAGGGAGTTAAATGGGCCCAAAATTCAGAGATGACCACTTCACCCATGCGGTTGAGAGCGGAGGTAGGCAGCAGGGCCGTACTTCCCTGAAGACCTTCCCTTCCCCTCCCTTCCTGCATCAAACGGCGGCGGCGCAGATTGAGCAAACTGATGGCCACGAGGCACACAACCTCCCTCCCTCCCTACCTACCACAGACACCACATGAATGGTGGGGGAGGTGGAGTGCCCAACCAAAAACGGTATACGGAGTGAAGTGGGTTCCGGAAGTACCAGTTCGTTCTGCATCATCATCCATCAGCCTGACGGGGATCCATTTCACTGGTGCAATCCCAGATGAAGTAATGCCACTGATCCCCACGAACCATGCGCACTCCACCACATACACGGACACATTGCGGCAAGGTCTCCTCCCGGATGCTGACTGGCCTGGCATGAGGGCAGAGCTTCTCCTGCGGAAGACTTCTTGCGGAAGAAGCTCACACTCAGACACACCGTCGCCAGGTACATTAGGTACGGAAGTAGGTGCATTTCGGTAGCATCTCCGCACATCTTCTTCACTTCCATTCTCGACCCATCACCCATTTCCCATGTCCCCCGTCGCACACAGCTCTGCCAGCCCCCCTCCCTGCCCCCAACCCTTCCCTCGCCCGGCACTCAAGCAGCACCGCATCCTACATCAACCATCGCTACCATACTACCAGCCGACGAAGACACCCGATACGAAGACGATACCCACCCCACAGGATTTACCGTACCGGCGGCTGTCGGGTCGGCCGCCTCATAGCCGCCGATCTCCCCTCCACGCTCATCTCAACCTCTTCAACGCCATTATCGCCGGCCCCCATGCCAAAGATGTTCTCCTCTTTGACTCCGACGCCTCCCGCAACTTCATATAGCCAGCGACCGCTTCCACTTTCCATACCACCCTCGAACGTTAGTTATTCCGCCGTCTCCTCCGAGCCCATTGCCCTTCTGCCTTCTCGGCCGTGCAACCACCACATCTCCCTCAACCCAAGCAGAGTGAGTACTGTGTGTCTCCAGCTTAACTCCAACAGCTTGACCGGCAACTGAAGGACTAATGGACCTGGGGACCGTGGATGGATTCGCGACCGCCGATGTCGCCCTTTGGTGCTCACATATTCTGTCCTCGCCCGCAAACCTAGCGGCAACGAATTGCGCCTCTGTGTCGGCTTCCGCGCGTCCAATCAAGCAGCTCACCATCAAGGACGCGTACCCACCGTCCTATCACTCCCTGGCCCCATGTTCACGAGCTCCCCGAGCAGCCGTACAGCTCAGCCTACTTGGCCAAGCTGAGTCTCTGGTCAGGTTACCACCAAGTACATGTTCAGTGCATGAGCCCCGAATCGTAAGTGCATGAGCCCCGAATCGTAAGTGCATGAGCCCCGAATCGTAAGTGCATGAGCCCCGAATCGTAAGTGCATGAGCCCCGAATCGTAAGTGCATGAGCCCCGAATCGTAAGTGCATGAGCCCCGAATCGTAAGTGCATGAACCCCGAATCGTAAGTGCATGAGCCCCGAATCGTAAGTGCATGAACCCCGAATCGTAAGTGCATGAGCCCCGAATCGTAAGTGCATGAGCCCCGAATCGTAAGTGCATGAGCCCCGAATCGTAAGTGCATGAACCCCGAATCGTAAGTGCATGAGCCCCGAATCGTAAGTGCATGAACCCCGAATCGTAAGTGCATGAACCCCGAATCGTAAGTGCATGAGCCCCGAATCGTAAGTGCATGAACCCCGGACCGTTTCGTTGCAACTCCGGTCTGATTGGTCTGAATGGCTCGTCCTCCCTTTTGTACCCACTGCCGCCCCGCAACCTTCATGTTCCTCATGAACGACGTCCAACCAACCAACCAACCAACCATTCCACAACATATGTGCCATCGTCGTGTACCTCGTCGTACGCCCTCATCGCCCACTCGCCCGCGCACTTTTGAAGAGCAGCGCCCCGCGACGTGCCGGAAGCCGTCCTCAGCACCCTCCAGAACCATCCCCTCCACGTCTGCCTCTCTCTCTCCAAGTGTTCCGCTGCGCACAACCCTCATCGTCATTCCACAAACCGGTCCCTCCACCACCTTCACCCTTTACACAGACGCCTCGTCCTCAGTCGGCCTGCAAGCGAAATAAGAGTTCTGGGATGCAGTCCTGCTCCAAGAGCGAAATCGCGCCCACAACCCCCGCGGTGTTCGAGTCCCAAAAGCTCAACCGTCGCGACGCCAGTTACCCCGTCCACGAGCTAGAGCTGCTTGCTGTCGTACACGCTGTTCGTAGGTTTCTGAAGGCCGCCATTTCATGCTGTGCATTGACCACTAGAATCACCGTGTATCGCTTTTTCACGCGCTGAGAGACCTCTCGCGGCGCCCAGCTCGTTGGTTGCACCTGCTCGCCATCGTTGCAAGGCTACATCTCCATAACCTACCGCTACCGCTCAAGGCCCCAGAACATGGCAGATACTCGGTCTCGCTTCCCGCTTCATCTGCCGCCTTTCTTCCCCGATTTTCCACCCTTCACCATCCCGCCACCGCCGTACACTTCGCCCTTTTACCCTCTGTCCCGTCACCTTCCCCACCCGTCCCACTTCAGCCCCCACCATACCGCGGTGGTCGACACCTCCGTGACCTCCAATTGCCCAAATCCCCCTGTTGGCACCAGCAGTGCTAGCCCGGTCTTAGTCGTAGCCGAGCTTGCTGAGGTGTTTGTGCGTGCCGTACGGACCACTTGATCTTCCTTTCCGGGGCTGTATCTATTACAGCGACAGGCGATGTGCCCTTTGGCTCGGTTTCTTTGCATTACGGTACAAAAACCTGGTAGCCCGCTGCAATAACAATAACAGCAACAACCTCCGCCAACAACAACGCTCTCTGGGTCCCTTCGACCGGATGTAGACCGGTGTCGTACGCCACATTAAGGTCGATACCCCGAGGTGGGCGGGTTGCCGCTACTGACTACTACTCCGGTTCCTCTTTTGCCTTTCCCTCGCTCGCCTGGTATACCGATTTCCATTTACAGGTAGTAGTAATCGGAGCGACGCACAATACAGACAACTTTGCGGTTTCTTTCGCACCGAGGACGGTGCTTGTGTTAAGCAGGGGGAATGTGTTAGGTTCCCAAGGTAGCTGTTAAACCCTAGCAGCGCTACTATGAAGCGTGCCACGGCGAAGCGTGCCACGGGAATGAGCACCATCATGGCGGGGCGTGGCACTTTTCAGCTGCGGCGCCATTGCGCTGCACGCTGTTGGCCTTCGCTGTTCGGACGGCCGTCGCAGGAAGGCAAAACGTCTGGTTCACCGGGGACGGCTGTCGAGCGACTTGCCCCCCTGACCCGCTGCCTGCTGCCAGTCTAACCAGAACCAGCTCCAGTTCCCTTTCCCTCACACGCGGCTGTTCCCTTTGAATGTAGTGTAGTCTCAAGCCTATTAACCCACAAATTGACCTCGAGAATATGCCCCCAAGACTAAGGCTGAGGCCATATGACCTTATTGCGGGACATCATCGCCAAGCTGCAGTGTGCCACCGACAGCCAAGCGCCTCTCATCAAAAAGCTCAGCCATCAGCTCAACATCGACGAATCGTGCTCAAGCGCCTGACGTGCAGCCAGGTGCTAAAACATCATGGTTGGCGCCTACATATGTATGTCCGCCAAGCGCAAGAGTGGGTCCGGATCTTGCGCAAGTGGGCGCAACAACAGCAAGCGCGGACCGGATGGGGATGAAAGCTATATGGGGATTCAGATGGGAGCAGTGGCCGGGGTGTGGCGGTTGCTGTGGAGCATATGGTGGGCCGGGGACGATGCTGGCAGCAGAAGTCCGAGGGCGGCTGCCAGACTCCCACATGTCGGGCGCCTGGGCCACGTCCACAGGCGGGACTACCTCGCATGCATTATTATTTTCCGTGGGCAGCGGCCCCTCGACCCCGCATATATAACTGAAACACACTTTGACATGCAATCATGATCGGGACGAGCGGTAGCCCTCTGACAATTAAAAGCATGATTACTGAGTACGGTGAAGTGGTTTGTAACCAGCGCGATTTGGCTGTCATGATGCTAGAGTTAACAAACAGGGATGAAGTAGCAGCATCCCCAACGCAAAGTTAGACCCTGTTACAAGATGGTCCTAGACCGCGGCAAAGCAGGAGTACTTACAGCGCGCTTGAAGCCAGGCCTTGCATCGGGCACCGCGCATTGGACGCCCACTGTAGCCCGGTTTAAAAAAATTTAAAGGCTAACGGAACTGCAACAAGTGGCAGCTCGCAGATTTGCTAATCCGTATGTTATCATATCGATAATGTTAGCAATTATTAGCAAACAAGTGGTCAGCTGATACGCCCTCTTCAGGGGAGCGGAGCGCAGTGGCCCATCCACCCAGCAAGACAAATCAAACAGGGCGCGAAAGTTCCAAAGTTCTGGCCTACCTAAATTCAGGCCGCGTGCCACAAGCTTAATAGCAGAAAGCGGCAGAATGAGCGCCAGTGACAACAAAGATCGAAAAGTGCGAATTATATAAACCTTGCTTCACCCACAATCGATCAGGCTGTCAGAAGCCTACACGACAGAAGATGCAAATTGGCAGATTGCAGCCTGAACACCGAAGTTGCACCAGCCAAAATTGACACGCGATGGAAAGAGAAGGATATGTACTTATGCTTCGCGCGCGGACCGGTTGCTGTATGTCGCACTCTGCTAATAATGTACGGCCTGCTAAACGAGCACTTTCTGCCAAAGCTTAATGTTAGGGTGGGCAGGTCTGCATGTTATCGTACTTACATAAACGTGCCTCTCACCACACATGCAGCGACTCCAGGAGATGCATCGAAAGTCTTTTTAAGCTGTATCCAACAAAGAATAACCTAGGCAAAGACATAATCGACGCCCGGCCTTGGCAAAAGCAAAGCCCGGCAGCAAAACTACTGCGCGAGGGTTTCTGCTCTGCACGGTGCGCGTGATGTCGCGACGTATATCGCGGCGTATGGCACAGCCGTAGGCATGCAGCTTTAAAGATGTAAAGTTCATGCAGGACAAAAAGCGGGGGAAACTACACCATCACACTATCAAATGCAGGAAAGGTCCACACAAAAGAAAGGCTCCTGCCTTCACTTATTACCATCAACGCATCAAAACCAACTTCCGTCTTCCTCAAGAGGATTATCCTCGCAGTTCCTCGCCCTCCCTCAGCGCTGCTCAGCCGTACCTTCCCGTACTCAGCACCCAACCTGACCTTTCCCATAAATTCCGCGCATTACTCATAACACATCGCGACTTCAGGCAATCTTTTTAACTCCAGCATCCTGCAACCTCCATGGTCGTAAGTTTCGCACATCACAGCCTTCTCAGCACTGGAGTCCATCATTAGCAGCACCCGTTTGCTGCCACCACAGTATGTGGAGATTTGCGCAACATGGCGTGTGTGTGTGTTAGACCCTCCTAAATCCTAAAAACCAAAGAAACCATCAGGCAGATGATACATACCAACAGGCATACAAACAGACAGACGGCCGGACAAGCGTCGAAGATTGTACTCGATGCAATTGACAGTTTGGTACACGCGACCCAGCGTACATGCTTCAAGTGAAACCAGGCGTCCCCTCTGTCTGTCTGTCTGTCTGTCTGTTGCCCGCCAGCACATGTTCAACAGTTTGTCGGTTACTACCGGTCGGGCCCGCGGAGGTTTGTCGACTGACCGACAGGATAGCTGGATGTACGGAGATGTACGGCTGTTCGTCCTTTATCAGCTCATTTATAAAACGTTACGCCATTCTCGAATCATCCGCTCTTAAACCCTGTACACCTCAGCGGCACCTGGCAACCTTTGATTCGAAACCTAACGGAAAAAGATCTCACTGTTGTTTGATTTGGCTCTTTTCCTCTCTCAATCTCTCTGCGTGGGACTAACAAATGGCACGTAGGCGCAGTGTGCGGATTCCTGTGTCAACCAATTAGACCAGCATGCTCTCCCGTACACGGTACTGCGGCAGATTCAGTACGGCAATCTCGTTACCGGAGAGTACGATGGGCGCATCCACAATCTTAGCGCGCTGCCAGGGTCCCGTCAGGCCTTTTGGTGGTACGACAGCCTGTAGGATATCACGGAAAAGGACACACATACAGATTGTCGTACGATGAGATACGAATGCTCCAAAGTTTGAACAATCCCGCCTGGGCTGTTCAAGCCGTATTCATCTGTGCGTACGACAACCTCCTCATCATCATCACCATTGTCATCTGCCCATGAAATCCTTCTTAGTCATCTTCACATTCGGTATGTATGTATATCCTCAGGCCGTACAATTCCTTCGGTCGGTCTTCTCCTCCATTTTCAATTTTGCCCATTCACTGCTCTCATTAGTTATTATTATTATTAGCCGGACCAAGTTTCTACCTATTTACATCTCATTCGGCACTTATATCATGTTAAGGACTTTTGGCATCTAACGCCACGCAGCTCAGCCATCACGCCGCATGCCAAAGAGTAACTAAAGCACACGACAGGGCCCAGTACGGCTAGTTGCCATGCCGACAATCTTATGTACTCACCTCATAAAATACCCCAACCATCACCCCCACCCCCCACCCCGTCCCCTTCCCCTCCGCCGACCCCCCCCCCCCCCTTCCCCCTCCTTCCCCCACCTCCCCCCCTACCCCTCCTTCTTCGCTTACCTTGTCACCACCGGCCCCCCCTTCCCCCTCCTTCCCCCCCCAGCTCCCCCCCTACCCCTCCTTCTTCGCTCACCTTGTCACCACCGGCCCCCCCTTCCCCCTCCTTCCCCCACCTCCCCCCCTACCCCTCCTTCTTCGCTCACCTTGTCACCACCGGCCCCCGTCAGGGGCACCACCAGGGTGCTGCCCTTGCAGGCCACGTGCATCACCTTGGAACGGGGCAGGGGGCGGTAGGAGCTGCTACTGCTGCTGCTAGTACTGCTGGCAATGCTGCTGCCGGTGGATGGGGTGTTAGACGAAGTTGATGTACGGCGAAACACAGGCATGTCTGCCAGCGGTCCAAAGCCGCCTCGGCCGGAGGGGGCGGATGAGCTCAGGAGCAGCTGGGCCGCTGGGCCCTCTGTGGTGGCGCCGCTAAGGAAGGAGCTGATGCTGCTGGGCGAGGTGGAGGGGGAGGAGCCCGGGGTGGCGGCGCTCTGGCCGGGGAATACCGCTATCGCGGTGACCAGGGCCAGTGCGCCCAGGCAAGCCTGGCCCAGCACCGGTAGGAAGCGGCCCCAGCGGGGCCCCTCGCTGCCAAAGCCCCAGCTACCGCCGCTGCTGCCATTGCCGCTACCACCATTGTTGTTGTTGTTATTGTTGTTGTTGTTTTGGTTGGAGCCGCCGAAGCCGTTGCCCTCGCCTATTGTTCGGATGGCGTTTTTTCCACGGCATGGCAACAGTACGGTTGACATGGCTAAGAAGGTTTAGTGGGTTTATGTGAATGGTGAAAAGATTTTAGGAACAGTTTTTTGGGTTTGTGTCGAGTTGAGTCGAGAGTAGTTGTCGAAGGCCTGCAGGCCTGTTTGTCGCCATGAAAGACCAAAAGGTTCAGGACATGGCTCACCGCTGTTCAGCGCGACCTCGTCATCACAACATGGGGCATAAGAAAGCATGGCAACATTGTTGGCGAAGACAGCAGCAGCGACGCCGGGTGGGGTGGCGAGGCCGGAGTTGTACTTGGTCATCGTCAGCAGGAAGGTGCGCTTGCGAGGAGCTTTGGTAGTCGTGCTGCGGCGGTAGTACCGCATAGAAGAGGAAGGAGAGCAAATGTGTGGCATAGCGCGAGGCTTGGCACCAGTGGAAGAGCACGACGCTAAGATTGCCATGGCCACGGTTTAGAGGAGCCCCAGGATAGTGTTTGGAGATTTACTAGTTTGCAATACAACGGGAGTTGCTAGACAATTTGGTTATATCCAAAGCGAAGCTGTAATGGCGTGTAAATAAACCAGAGGTACCCAGGGCGTTAATTGTCTGTTATCGCCCGTGTCCTTCAGGCCTGCAGGCCGTCAAAGTTCGCTACGGATGTGCGTCGGCCCAGTCCAACCCATCAGGCCATGCCTAGGCCATAGTCAGGAACTGTCAAGATGCCGACTGCCATGATGCCAGTTGCAGATCGCCCGTATCCGGGATTGTCCCAACTACGCACGTGGATTGCCGACGTGCACCGACTCAAAACTGCCGGAATGGAAGCCGCTAGATATTGCAGCAAACATGAATGTAAGATAAATTCATAAAATTTCACTCAATTTTAATAGTTGTCAAGAGAATTTTGCGACGCTTCAAAAGTTTTGAAGGTCGTCAACAGCTTTCAACTGTCGCTCCCACATGTGTATGGTTGTATTCCGGGCTAATTTTTATTACTCACAATTTGCTGGCAATGCGGTTTCACATATCAGGTGTAAGATACCGCCCTGCTGTCCACGATTGTGCTTTCGTGCTACGTCTACCAAACGCTTCATAGCTCTGACAGCACAACACCAGGTCTACGTGATACTAGACTTAATAAATACTATTGACCTTGATCATCATTCTGAGATGATTTGCCTTCATTGCCTGCGGTACTCCGTACCATAGCTCTGTGTGAAAATCCAGGCCACGGAAGTCACTGTAAGACGCATATTTATGCGAGGAGTTTCTGTTTTAACTGATGCCAACACCAAGCTTTTTCTTCCATTTCGAAGCTTCGGTCCACCTCGTCTACAGCAGCTGCTGACAAGCAAAAGCCGCTGAGTTTTACCATGCTACCTTTTTCCTTAGAAACATGACTTTCCAGGTCCGCTCTGGGAACGCTTAGACTGTCAGGTCTAAGCAATGGTGGGCGTCGCCATCACTCACCCTTTGTTGCTGCATTCTTCGCCTTCTGCAGTTGACTCAGGCATTTTTGCGTTTGGTTTACCTGTAGAATCCGTTACCTGGTAGGCATACACTTGCCAAGGTGTCCAGTAAGCGGGGTGCACGCACCTCCCAAGCAAGTCGAAGAACGCAGGCGCGCACGAACCGCTACCGTATCAGCCACCGGATGAAGCACTCAGCTTTATTAAAAAAAGTCTTGACTGAACGCTATAATTGGTGCTGGGTCCTACATTTATATCACCGTGCACAGGGTTGTTATTCGGAGCCACCGATTCTCATAGACCGTGACATGCATGCGAAGCTTAATTAGGAGGGATGGCAAGTACGGTTGGATTGAGTTGGTAGGGTGGTCGCCAGGATTGGGATAGATCAACCGGGGATTGAGATAGACTGACGGGGGGATTGAGATTGACTGTGGAGGGATTGAGATTGAGACCGAGGTGGATTGAGATCGGGTTACCGTTGGATTGAGAGTGTAGTACCGTTGGATTGAGATAGACGCTACCGTTGGATTGAGATTGCCTTGGGCCTGGATTGGGATTGATACCCCGGAGGATAGGGATAGAAAGGCTGTAAGGCTGTACATATGCTTGTGTTACCCGCTGCACTCCTTTACCACGTCGGTGGTGCCGTTATCTAACCAAAAACGGTATCCGTGACATCTGTGACGCAACCTTTCCTCGACTGTTACACGTCGCACAGCTTTCGCAACGTTCGCTTAACATGCTTGGCACCAAGCGCTCTGTCCCACCGTATGCATGCTCGCGTATGCATGCTCGGAAACCATGCAGAAGAAGAACAACAGCCTGCCGTCCGCTTGACATCCCGTCATATGTACATAACACTAACTTGCACACCCATAAAATGTCCAATGGGACTGCTTCCACAGGCTGCCGCAAATAATCATAACAAAACACCTATCTTCCTGTACATGCTCCTGTACACGCACGCTCTGAAACTAGCCCATGAGTGTCGTACACACCACACCGCTGTACCGACACAAGTGCGCTCTTCTATTGGGTAAACCCAAACGACTGGTGGCGCGTAATGTACAGATTCCCGCTCGGAATTAAAACCCGCATTTCAGCGGGGCGAGTTCTGGTGTGCCCACGCGTTGGCACCAGCAATCGAACCTATGTCACCAAAAATCCGGACAAACTTGTCCACATTGGTACCCAAATACACTACCACACTTCCGTGTGGATTTTGTACACGGCTGCCCCATTTCAACTCCGACTCCTCTCCCACGGATGTGTGCTGTGGCTGCACAAATGCAAGCCGCTCCCACAGGAAGCAAACTGGCCATTCCAACACTGCCCTAAACCACTTGTACCCGACAGCGGCCTTCAGCAGGACCACCGCCTGTTTGACAGCCCCTTGTCGATACTCTTTCACACACCGTTCGAAGAACAAGTTCTGCATGCTTAGCACACCCCTCGAACCGAAAGGAGGGTTGACGAAAACGTTCCCCTCCCACCTACATGCCTCACTGAGGCCATCCAAAGCCACATCAAAAAAGCGCCCGGCCTTAACTCTAGTGTTTGCCGCCTCCGAGCTGCACGGGTCCAGGTCAATTCCCCCCGGCCCAAACATCTCTGCGACTTTATCTAGGATGCACTGTGGAGTGTACCACTCTACCGATGCACTCTGCAAAAAGATAGGCCGGCTACCCGCCGGGACTGCATCTTCATCGTGGCCGTTAGCCCTTGACACAGCAGTAACAGGCGCGACAACATCGGCCATGCCACTCTCGTCCTCACTATCACTCTGTGCGACAGTGCTGGCTGTTCCCACCTCCTGGATGCACGACACCACGAGCTCAGCAGTCATGCGCCGTCCCTCCTCGTTATGATACCTTAAGACACGTTCCCAGGCCAGCCTTGCCACGCCTGGTTCGCATCGTGTCAATGGCCGGACCAGCCGTTCATACTGTGGCACAGGCATGGAAGGTGGCAAAGACCGGATGAAACGAGCAGCCGCCACCCATGCCCTCGCTTGTCGGTACCCAAACCCCAGCGACTTCCTCTCAAGAATATACGCGCGGAATGACTTGTACCCTTCCGCCTCAAACAGATGCTGCTCGGCGATATCCAGCAGTGCACAGCTGGCTTCCACAAAAAACCCACCAGCGGCCATGGTGACACGTGCCTCAGCTTCCCCGAGGGTCCGTGCACGCGCAACAGCGTACGGTGCTCTGCACATAGCCAACATATAGTCGTGTAATGGCACACAACGTCATTCATGAATCGGAGCAAATGCAAAGAAGTAATGAAATGGCTAATGAATTGAAAGCAGTCAGTCCTCACACAACTAGACAGTGACCTCGTAGGCGTACTGCGCATGTGGCTCTTTATCCGTTCCCCTGCAGCCGAACTTATAGCACGTCATCCCGCCAACCTTATTAATATGGACTTTAGCGATGGCCCTGTAACAATGGCAGCACGTGGTCAGTAGGTG